ATGGATTTTAAGAAATTAAACCATATGGCAACCACTATAATCTATGTATTAAGGGCAAAAATATTATTCAGAAAAACAGAAAAACAAAACAAATGGATCCGTTTGACTATTTTGACACAATCTGAAAAACTAAAAATAATGTTTTTATGTTCTGGAAATAAATATGTGATAAATAAATAAATAATAATAATAATTTAAAATGTTAAACACTGTCCGGAAAAAATACTGTGCGTGTTTAAAGCCATCTGAAGCCGTTAATCACAGTCAACAATCGCCAAATCGTACTTTAAATGCCGCTGAAATGTGCGCTACGCGTGCTAAATATGCAATTCAAACCGTACACATTAACTTACAAAACATTACAGCAACTCACTAAATGCTTCACCGTTTCAGACTGAAGAGGATCACAGCGTCTGCAGGTAACGACCCGGTGCTGACGTTAGCTGCAAGTCTGCTACACAGTCTGGCTAATGTTAGCAGTGCTAGCAGCAGCAGCAGCAGCAGCTCCGCTTACAGGTTTATATCCGTGTTTGTGCTTAATGTGGGCACATGTTTCTCCTGTCGGGTGATCATATATCAGCTTATTATGTTACAGTCTACATTCAACATTATTTACTTTGTCTAGATTAAAACACTGCCGACTACGACTAGGCTATTAGCTAAACTTGCTACATTACCATGTTTGGCTAGAATATTATCACAGAAACGAATGAGGACGTTATGTACAAACGCTGCAAACTACTGCTTGATTTAAAAAAAAATACAACAACGCTGTTACAATCATTTTAATATTGTGTTATGTACTTACCAAGAACTCCAATGACAGACGCTCTGCCGGTGTCCTGTCGCTCTGCTCTGTGCTGTGCTCCGCTCCCTACCGCCGAAGTGGTTAAAAAAAGGACAGTTAAAATTTGAATTTCGGCGCGTCTGGGCTGCGCTGCTGAAACGGATTGGAGCTGAATGTATCATTACGACTGTCAGCGTAGTCTCTCCACCCAGACTTGGCACAAAGCTGGGTCAGAGGCGCTTGGTGGTGTGACTGCTACGCGGATCTCACGACTTGTAGGCGGATCTGGTTCAGTGTCAGCTGCTGTCTGGGTAATTACTTATGAATATGCATAATAACTACAAATTCACCCATATGCATATTTACATTAGAGCAATGTTAAGCCAATGATATAACATCCAAAAATAAGAAATCTTGATCTACCTGATATCAAACATAAACTGTGCATGTGGATGCATCGAGATAGAAAAGTATAAAAACTTCCACACAATATTAAGAAACTGAGTGACAGGCTCCAGAAACGTAATAAATGAACTAACAAATAAAACTTCACTTAATAGGACCCACATACAGCAATTACCAGTCCCATTTACACCTAATGTTAGCAGTAGCAGCCATCAGCATGCAATCAACATTACAATAGAGCTAACATCACAATCAAGCTAGCAAAAACGTGACTATCACTAATAACTGCAAATCCTGCATGTTACATGACATAAAGCTGCAGTCACATTGCACACAATGTCCACAGTTGACTACTCACAGTTTTCATGCACGCACAACACTTTAGGAAACTTTTGCACTCCTGATGACTGCGAAAGGCCGTCTGTGTCTCTGTGATTAAGATAAGAAATGGCAGCAGCGGTGGGCGGGGACAGACAGCTAGGAGTGCAACGTGATTGGTTGACTGTGATAACTGACTGACAGCTGTGTTAACAAATAAGAGAACTGCTAACCAAAAACAAGAGATTACATGAGGCATTGGCCTTTTTAACAGTCCATCTTTTATGGCTGTTGGGAGAAGTTTGTCTTCAGGGTTTAAAGCCAGATAGCTCTGAAGTCTTATGAAATAGATGATGGTTTGGGTTAAAATGAAATGATTTCTTTCAGAGAGGACTTTCTGGCAGAAAGACTGAAGGTTAACTTATCCCATGTGCTGTTTTATATGTGTTAGTGGAGTCAGTATAAACTTTGCTGCACTTAAGCAGTTACAGTTATTTATATTATTTATGGTTTTCTTTTCTTTTATGACCAAAAGTAAAAAAGAAAGGGGTGGCAGCTTCTTCTGTAACATATTATGTTAAATGGGCATATAATATCACCTCATATCGATCGCAGGCCCTTGAATTGCATTTTATTGAAATCGTATCAGACTTTGTGATATCAGCAAATATCATATCATTGTCCAAAGAATTGATACATCTTGAGGAAACTGGTGATTTACACCCCTGATATCTACAAAGCATCGTATAATTTTAAAATCTGTTTTTGGATAAAAGTGCCTTGCACCCACATTTGTCAAGGGTCAAGTGCAGACCAAATTCAGCACACTGAGGCAGGCAGACAGTTGGTAATGACGTTTATTGCTCACACAAATATGCAACAGTTCTGGGGTCTTTGGGTTTAGCTTGATTGTAGTTTAAGCAGTGTGACGAATGCAGGCATTCAACACTTGAGAGCAGTCTGAGAGCTGGGGACTGTGCTGAGAGTGCAGGTGGCTTTCTCGTGAGGCTGATAGTGGAGTGAAGACTGAAGTAGATAGCTGAACCTGGAGAGCTGAGGTAAGTAGGATTGGCGTAGCACCATGCAGCAACAGAGCCAAGCAGACGAGAACCAGGAGGACCGTGAGAGGATTCAGACAGGAGGGGTGGCTGGGAGGGCAGTGTCTGCGGTCTAGAGGATGGGCTGGTTCTGGACGGCTGATCACGGTGGCACTGGTGAAACTCCCGGATGAGGCAGGGGTCCAAGATGTGCCTCGCAGGGACTCAGGACCTCTCCTCAGGACTGTAGCCCTCCCAGTCCACCAAGTACTGGAGGTCTCTCCCGCGCCGGCAGGACCGCAGGAGACGGCAGGCTGAGTAAGCACCCCCGTCAATGAGTCTGGGAGGAGGTGGAGCAGCAGGGACCAGGGCGTTCTCTTGGACTGGCTTTACCTTGGAAACATGGAATGTGAGATGAATGCACATGAATCTGGGGAGCTTGAGCCGAACAGCTGCAGGGTTTATGACCTTCTGATGATGATGATGATCTCAAAAGGGCCGATGAACTGGGGAGCAAGCTTCTTGGACTCCACCTGCAGGGGAAGATCATGGGTAGAGAGCCAGACCGTCTGTCCAGGCTGGTACTCCGGAGCCTTGGAGCAGTGGTGGTTGGATGCAGTGGCATAGTGACCTGCGGCTCGGAGGAGGACAGCTCTGGCTCGGGTCCAGGTCCTGTGGCAATGGTGGATGAAAGCCTGGATGGATGGGCAGGAGGCCTCTCTCTCAAGGGCTCTCTCAACAGGAGCAGCTGGAACCCATAGGCGTATTGAAAGGGAAGGAGGGCTGTGGCAGAGCTGGTCAGGGTATTATGGGCATATTCTAACCACAGGAGCTGTTTGGACCAGAATGACAGGTGATGTGATGTCATGCAGAGGAGGGTTGTTTCCATTTCCTGGTTCATGTGCTCATTCTGGCCATTGGATTGAGGGTGGAATCCCGAGGAACGGTGGCCCCCAGGAGTGAGCAGAACTCTATCCAGAAGATAGAGGCAAACTGGGGCCCCAGTTGGAGACCGCAGGCATTGACAAACTCCCGGGTGTCCTCATCCAGGGAGGCCCACCAAAAGTACTGTTGGATGACCTCCTTGGTATGCTGGATACCTGGATGACAAATAAGCCGAGAACTGTGGGCCCAATGGAGAACTTCAGACCGGAGACCAGGCGGGACGAACAGGCGGTCAGGAAGGCAGGAGCTGGGCCCTGGCTGATCTTGAGTGGCAGCCCTGACTCTCTCCTCCACCTCCCAGGTAAGTGTGGCAACCAGCCGGGAGGACGGCAGAATGGTGTCAGGGTCAACTGCATCTCCCTCATTCTTCTTAAACTGCCGGACAGGGCATTGGGCTTGATATTGCAGTACCCCAGCCGATAAGAGAACAATGACCACCAAGCCTGGTGGGAGTTCAGTCTTTTGGCGGACTGGATGTACTCAAGGTTCTTGTGGTCGGTCCACACCAAGAACAGTAGCTTGGTCCCCTCAAGCCAATGGCACCACTCCTCCAAAGCCAGCCTGACGGCCAGAAGCTCCCTGTTCCGATGTCATAATTCCTCTCAGTCGGGGTCAGGCATCTGGAGAAGAAGGCGCAGGGGTGCAGCTTCTGGTCGGAGGCGGCATCTCCAGGATGTCTCACCTCACACCTCAGTGAGACACAAGTCTCACAACTTGATTAAACTGGACTTTTACAGTGACATGTGACTCTGTGATGTCACAGGCATCTGTAGAAGGTCTGCTCCCTTCAGACAGTCCTGCTGTCTTACTCGGGAACTGTGGAGCAGCCCACACCTCTTTCCTGCTGGGCCTGGAACAGCCCAGATGCTCAGGCCCTTGCTCCTTGCCCTGAACCATCAAAGGTGGGGCAATTGCTCACAGACTCTCTTTTTCTTGGACCATGACTTGCCCACGCTCAAGGCTGAGGCAAACCTGAACCAGAGAAGTTAGACCTGCAAGGACAAGGTTTGCAACTAGCTTTCCAGCAACAAGGAACTAAGTGAGTTAGCATCCAGCATCTAACTCTGCAAGGACCCCGAGCGACTGGCTTCCTCGGATCAGAACCTTTGGAGTAAGGACACAGTAAAAACTGCAGCTGGAATCACAGCTCTTCCCAGCCTTCTTCTGCCGGCTAACAAAGCAGTACACCACCAAATGACTCTTTCTCCCATCCACTCAAGGATCGGTAAAGTAACAACTGGGCATAGCTTATCACAGCTTTACAGGCTAAGCAAGACTGTCTGATTTGTTGTATGTGATTTGATGCTGTTCATTGAGTTATTGTTGTGATTGTTGGCAGTTAGGTCATTGATTAGTTGGATTTGCCAAAGCTAAGTGTTTAGTTTGCTAATACTGTTCACAACAGATTCTTGCACACAACTAAACAATCTCTGCACTAATCCAGACTGTTTGCAACACAAATCACATTCACATAGACTCATAAACAAATAGGCTTTCAACAGAGCTACACCCAAACAGGCATCTCAAAGTTCCCGCTTCTTTTCCTTTGTCTTAGTCCTGACCACACGGTCGGACAAACACCTCCCCCGACCTGATTCGACCATCTTGTAGTTCTCTGTTGTCAGCCATTTTGTTTTGTAGGCCAAATGGCTCTTTGATCACCACACCAGCCTTTGTCTCTCTCTCTCTCTCTCTCTCTCTCTCTCTCTCTCTCTCTCTCTCCCTCACACACACACACACACACACACACACACACACACACATATATACACACACCAAGCTTGTATATAGTTAGAATTTGTGTGTTTTCGTTTGCTTTGCTAGTTTGGGAATACATATATAAATATAATTCTTTGGAATCATACCTGCTGTCTGTTTAATGTTGCACAAGAGTAAATGAACAGTCAACCTCTGCTGCCTCAAGAACTCCGAAATCCTTCAGGCTTTACTGTTAATTTTGGTTATTGTCATTAATTTAATTATTAATCAAAACTCCAAATTAATAGTTTAGTATATTTCATGAGACTGATATCTTTAACTGGCTATCATTTTCCCTTTATGGGAATGGTGCCCCACGAGGTGATTTAATGTTAATTAAGTCACATTATTTAACATAATTATTATTAATAATTATTAATTATTTCCAATAGCCAATTGACCCTGACATAATTGGTACCTCCACGTGAAGCCCTAATTTATGTTTACAACATAATTGGTGCCTCCGTGTGATGCCCTAATATTGTTTACCACAACATATTTGGTGCCTCTGTGTGAAGCCCGAATTTAAATCCCTACACTAGTGAGCAGGCCATGGAGTAGGTCGTGTTTTTTACTCCGCTCTTCCACCCTCGTTAATTTTAGATAATAGATGCTCACTTTTTACCCGTACTGACGCTGGCAAGTAACTCATAAAGGTCTCAGTGATGGTTAAAAGCAGAAGACAGACTCAAAAGACAAGGCAGCCCTGCGGGGAGCGAGGGTGACAGCTTGCCGTATGAGCTAGCTCATTATTCCCCTTTATTTGGGAAAGCGGGAATAGGGAGGGGAGGGTATAGTTTTTTTTTTTGTTTTAGTCGTATGTACTGTACTCACAATACCTTATTTGTCTACCATAGTATCCTGCATTTTTGTTGTGTGGAGGTTTCATGAGTGGTCCTAACAACAGCATAGCATAACATAGCGTATCTGTCATGCTGATCTGTTCTGTACGACATCTACTGCACAGCTGTCCGTCCTGGAAGAGGGATCCCTCCTCAGTTGCTCTTCCTGAGGTTTCTACCGATTTTTCCCCCACTGAAGGGTTTTTTGGGGAGTTTTTCCTTATCTGCTGCGAGGGTCTTAAGGACAGAGGGATGTCATATGCTGTAAAGCCCTGTGAGGCAAATTGTGATTTGTGATATTGGGCTTTATAAATAAAATTGATTGATTGACTGATCTGCACTGCCTTCTGTAGCACTTTGAGATTTGTTTTTTATGTAAAGTGTGTTACAAATAAAATGTATTATTATTATTATTATTATTAACAGTTCTAATGTAAATAATATGATCAATCTACGTTCTTGGAATGTTAGAGGTTTAAACGACCCAGCTAAAAGAGGTAAAGTATTTTCTCACGTGCCTTC